TTAAAAATGTCTGTTACCCAAAAAGCAGAGTTTTCAACCTGAGAAGGGCTCTGGGAGTGAGTCCTGCTCAGCCCTGGCATTCCAAGCTCCGCTGGCCGGAGAGAGGGGATAAATCGGGGGGTGGGAGAGGAACAGAGCGATTCCAACAGCCCCAGTAAGAGAAACAGCCCCAAAAACGAAACCCAGTACCCATGATGGGAGGAAATGCAGCCCCACACGGCACAGAGGAAGGAGAAATCAGATGCTTGAGCAGAAAATGGGGAACATCTGCTGAGGCGGCCCCGGGTGTTGACAGTTGGGGCCATGGGGGGGCTGAGGGGCTCAGGAGGTTCCCCACAGGGTCAGGGTCTGTTTTGGGGGGGATGTGGCAGCTCCCTGGGGGCTGCTGGTTTGCAGAGCCGAGCTCAGCTCTGGGACACAAATAACCCCCCTCTGGCATCTGAAACACCCCAAAAAGCCAGTTGCTGAGTCCACACAAGCTCGGCATGGCCACAGGTCCCCGCACACCTCGAGGCTGTTGACTTGCTGGAGGACCTGGCACTGCTGCCCCTCAGGCCCGGCAGCGCTGCGGAGCTTCTCCAGCAGGGCCGAGAACAACCTGCTGGCCATGCTGGTGCAGAAGGCGTCCGAGCCATTGAGGAACTCCCTGGAAGAGGGAAAGGGTTGAGAGAACAGGCACAGATCCACCACCCTCCCCTGTGTGACCCCCAGCCCCACGCTGCTCTGGGGAGGAAGGGGCGCTGGGCACTCACCAGGGCTGGTTCTCCAGCCAGTCGGCCAGGAGGCAGCGCAGGCTCCGGGGGAACTCCGTGGAGAGGCTGCTGAACTCCTCCTGAGGCATGTGGGACACGACATTCCAGAGGGACATCTTGGGAACAGTCACCTGTGGGCAAGCAGGAGAGGGGATGGGAGTGGGGCCGCTCAGGCAGCCCCAGCACAGCTCTGGGGGGTCGAGAGCCAACATCCCCTCGAGGGACGGGGCAAGAGCTGCTGCCCATTCTCTACATCTGAACCTGCTGCTCCAGCAGGTCAGGGCTGCTGGGGAGGAGTAGGAGTGGGAAGACTAATCCAGGATCAGCCTCTTGTGCAATGCTGAGCAGGCAGGAAGCCCACTTGTGCCTCAGTTTCCCACATCTCTGTGGAATCCCTGCTCCTCCTGTGGGTGCCACACAAGGATGGACGGGAGAAGTGCTGCCGGACTTGGCACAGGAGAGCTGGGAGAGCCGGAAGAATGTGAAACCCTCTGGGAGCGGGAGGAGAGTGAACTCCCCCTGGGCATGGTGAGGCTGCTCTGCCAGGGTGGTCTCAGCGGTGGTTGCCCCCCAAAACCTCCTCAGCTCTCCTCCCGCAGGAAGGCTCCTTCCCCAGCTGCCCATCAGCTGTCTCCACAGCCCATGGAAAACAAGAGAAGGGCTGGAATGAGGCACTAGATGGGAAACTCCCCACGGAAGGCGTGGGCTGGGGGGGTGTCACAGTCCCACCATACCCCGAGGTGGATGTTGGAACCCCAGCGGTCTCACCCCGGCCCCTCAGCGGTGCCGGGGTCCTGCCCACCCCATCCCTCTTCCTGGCAGCTCCCACCCTTCCTCCCACCACGCTCACACCCCCATGGGCCCGGCTGGCGAGGGGGGTCCCCACGCAGACGCACCTCGCTGCCGGTTCCGCAGGCAGCGGCCGGGGCCGAGGCCCGATCCGGTGGCGGATCCCGCAGCGCTGGCGTCTCACAGCCCCGCCGAGGGGCCGGGGCGCCGGTGGGACCCCGGCCAGCCCGGCCAGCCCAGGCCCGGCCTCTCGTCCCCGAAAGCAAACAGCCGAGCGGGGGGATCGCGTCACGTCACGTGTCCCCGCGGGCAGCGCGTTCCCCACGGGCCTGGGCCGCGCGGCGAGAGCCGAGGCGGAGGTGGAGCTGAGAGACTCGGAGAAACCCTGCGAGGGGAAGGAAGCCAAGGCGTCACTGGGCAACGTCGCAGCCGGCGCAAACAACCGCCCGCGGCCTTGGCACCGAGCGGGGCCTCGGGGGCTCCCCGGGCCGGTGGCGCTGTGGTGGCCCCCGGGGTGCTCCCCTTCCTGCCCTCCCAGACCCCCCCAAGCCGCTCCAGTGGCAGCTGGAGCCTGACGCCTTCCAGAAATGCTTTTGCTTTTGACTCCACGCCCGCCTGGAGCAAACAGACCCCGGTGATTCACCGCAGCGCACGGCCCAGGGGACGGGGTTACTCTGCAGCGGTCAGTGCCCCGTGGGAAACGCAGTCACAGATGCTGGGAACGCTGCTGGGCTCTCCCCACTGCCCTAGTGGGATCCTGGCAGGAGGGAAAACCAGCCTCTCCTTTTGCCACCCTCGGGGTTAATCCCCATCCTCCTCCTCCCCCATTAAACCTGTATTTCTGCTCGGCCCTGGGAGGCAGCTGCTGGCTGGAAGCGCCAACCTGGAGCGTAAGCCGTAAGCCAGGCATGCCTGGATCTGCTGAGACTCTGCAGGAGAAGCCACGCTGCTCCCTCCTCCCCCAGCCCAGGAGGAGCTCAGGGGGGGACATGCCTATCCCCTCTCGGCATCAGTCACAGCAGCTCCTTCAGCTCAGCCTTCCTATCCTAATTTCCATGTTTTCCTGTTCTCCTTCTGCAGAACAGCCTTTCCTGGTTCCCTCCTGGGGGGAACCTCCCCGGGGCACCCTCCTCCAGGTCATCCTAGCAAAGCAGACTCCGTGGCAGCTTCCAGCCTCACACCTGCACCAACCGTGGGTGCACCCACTGTGGATGCATCCCGAGCCTCCCGGATGCCACCAGGCTTGCGCCCCTCAGGAGGCACCCCCAGAGAGGAGGCTCCACAGCCTGCTCCCCCTCCCCAGGCCCCTCGGCACAGTCACTTTCACTTTCTCCTCCACACCAGGGGCTTCGCCTCCTCGTGGGGCCAAGGGTCTCCCAGATGGGGAGGTCGGGTAGGAGGAGCCTGGGCACGGCGGGGGGTTTTCCAGATGCTCAGGGCACCCAGGCTCTGCTCTGGCTCTGCCCTTGCTGCCTCTCAGCGTGCCTCAGTTTCCCCGGGGTGCTGAGGAGGCCACTGCTGCCTGCACTCTGAACGAGGCCGGGACACGGGACCCTGTGGGACACTGGTGACAGTGCCACGGGGAAGACACAGCAGAGCCCACGTGGTGCCAGGGGCTTCCCACAGCTGACCGCGCTCAGGCAGTGAAAGCTCCGGTGGGGCAGAGGAAGAGGAGCGGGGCCTTCCCCCTCTGGCCCAGCCCAGGGTGACTCACGGTGCGGGGAGCCCGGGCTGGACCCGCTCCCGCCCCACCCGACCCCATCCCCGCTCTAGGGGTCCCACCGATGAGACAGGGGGGGTTCTGGCGCTCCCCACCGCAGCCCCCCGCGGGTGTTGCTTTGCCCCGCGCACCCTCTGTCCCCAGACTCTGGGGTGCCAGGACAGGGGTGAGGGCCGCTGCACCCACCGGGCAGCGACTGCTCTGCACTTTTGACTGGGGTGGGCTGCGTTTCCACCCGCGTGGCCGATGCAGCCTCGACGGTGCCGGTTCCAAAGCCCCTTCCCCGTCCCACCCCGGAACACCGCAGCGAGAGGCTGGCGGTTCCCCACCCCAGAGACCCCCACTCAGCCTGACACGCTGCCCGGACCCCCGCCCGCCCTCGGAACCCTGCAGGGAGGTGTCCCCGAGCAGCCCCCCACCCCGGGGACCCCCGTGTCCCCCGGCTGCCAACCTGGCGCCCCTGCCCGAGTCCCGGGGCGGGGAGGGAGGTGCCAGGCGGCGGCAGAACCCCCCGGTCCCCGTTACCTGGCGGGAGCCGCCGCGGGCGGGGGGCGGCCGGTCCGGCCGGTCCC